TCACCCATTTTTTTCTGTGTCTCTTGCTTGATCATAGCGATGTTTTCTTGAGGTTCTAGTCCTTGTAATCTTCGGCTTCTTCTAACGGCTTGGGCGGCGAGGGAATATTCCAGCTTCTCCACCAGTTGTCACGGTAGTGATAACGAGTATAACAAAAGTTTAAGTAAAAATAATTTATTTATAAAATGCAAACTATTGCTAAGAATTTATTTTACAAGTAATAATATACAAGAATGGTAAGGGGTGATGACCTTGCAAATATTAATGATGATATACCACAGAATATTTAAAATAATTATTCAGTGATAATATCACAGTAGAACCTCCATGAGAGGACACTCACGCTAGAGGACACCTCTCTACAAAGGACAGTTTTCATTTGCAAAATGACCATTTTTACTATTTAGTAGCTATCCGGTAAAAGGACACCTCTCCCCAAAGAACACTTTGGCTCTGAAAATAGGTGTCCTTTACAGGGAGGTTTTACTGTAGTTGAAAAGAGATAATCATAAAAAATGTCTTTCTAATAACCAATATAAGTTTCTAAGTTTCTTTATTATGATAAAAATGGCAAGCTCTCAAGCGTTAGATTATCATTAGGACAATTGTTTCGCAAATACCTACAATATATATAGGTGTAGAAAGAATTTATATACAGGGTGATCCAAAAGTCCCGCACAACTTTAAAATTAATAACTCCGCGAATATTTGCGCTAGAGCAATGCGGTAAACACCATTGTGTTCAGGATGCAATGGGAATTTTTATGGCAAATAATGAAAAAATCGAAATTGATTTTAGTTACAATTTTATTCGCCAGATGGCGCTCTACCAGAATCAGAGATTCAGCGTCCAAATTGTTTGATAAATTGAAAAATATAACTGATCGACAGGTATTTTTCCTTTTTGAATACCAGGAAAGAACCCTAATAATATCAAATAACAAATTAATAAAACACCACTTCGCCAAAAGTATGAAGAATTGGTTAACGATTTTCAAATACAATCAGAGATATGTAAAATAGGTAAATGCAAATTAAAACATGTAGCAAAAATATTTATATTTTATATGGGGTTTTGTGAAATAGATTGAATGTTTGAAAAACACTGCTGATATCAATACACGAATTTTTGAAATGTTAATATAGTACCAAAAATTATGATGGCACTATTAATAGGATTTCTTCCTCTAAGAAATGTGTAGTTTCTTGACTGATTGGCGACCCTTGACTATTTAACTGGATATTTGTCATGATCCAACAAATGAAATATAGAGGGGAGTGACAAAATATATTTGTCGTACTTTATTCCAAATATCCTATGGGCTTGTCAAATGTTATCATTGTTTATTATACTGTACACAATTTTAAGAAATGTGTCCCCTCAAATAAAAATAATTTTTAAATCGACCTTTTGCGTTGAAAAACGTGGTAGTAAAAAAACAAACAAACAAAAAGCCTTTATTGAGGACCTCTCGTCCTATATAGGATTCGCCAGTTTATGTTAAAACGTGGTAGTAAAATCATGTTGTATTTTTTTTTCACAAAATTTCTAAAGTTATTGGTGTACAGAAAATATTCCTTATGCTATTTCTTCTAATGAGCGAAAAGCGAAAACTAAACATAAGGGTAAAAATTGTGTGTACCAGTGTTATTCGAGAAGTTATAACATTCTGGTTTGCACGACATAATATGTGAGCAAATGACAAACAAAATATTACTGTTCACAAAAAAAAAAAAAAAAGAGTCAAGATGTGAGGACAGCATTTATTATCCCCATATCCCAACACAAAGAGCTGCAAAATATTGGTAGATAATATAGTACATGACAGCTTATATAACACATGAGGTAACTGTCTTCTCTCTTGTATTAGGTCACAATCCTTGCTCAATGTGGCACCCTTCATTCTCAAACACCGCCTGCAGACGATAGATGACAGAATGGACAGCATTAAATAACATATCTGTTGAAATTGATAAAACGTGTCATCTGATAGAAGCCTTCAACCTGGCCAATGTGGTAGGCCAGCATCGATAAACACGCGACTTAATGTACCCCCATAACCAAAAATCGCAAGGCGTCAAGTCTGGTGATCTTGGAGGCCACTGGTATATAATGTGGCGACTTATCACACGATTTTCACAGAACGTATCCTTCTGCAATTGTTTGGCACCTCGGGAGATATGAGGAGGTCCTCCATCTTTCATGAATGTTATTTCGCTTAGTGCTTTTGCCCTGCAATATGGGAATACCCTTTTCTCTCAAGAGTTGAACATAACGTTCATCAGTTACAAAAACGGTTTTAAAATTTCTTCCATTGATTTTTCAAAGAAAAATGGCCCAATAATAAAAGAAGTGAACCCACACAAAACTGTAACTCTAGGCTGGTAAAGTGGCATTTCTGTAAAAATCCAAGGGTTTTCTGTTTCCCAAATGCGGCTGTTTTGAATGTTAAATTCTCCGTTTAGAGAAAGGTGAGCATCATCTGTCCACAGAACATTCAACAGCCAGTTTTCATCAATATCAATTTGCCGGAAACCCATGCAGTGAATTCTTGACGCATCTCAAAATCGCCAACTTTCAGCTCGTGAAATCTTTGAATTTTGTATGGGTACACACAATAGAGACATTAAGTGAAGCGTCTTCGGATATCACAATCATACTCGGCGAATTTAACTCCAAAAGTTCAATTTGGGGATCACCTGTCCAGGATAACAAAAGTTAGCGGGTTAAGGGCATGCTAACAGACCTCGACCTTACACCGTTAAATAACGGAGAGAACACCTACCTATCTAAGTCCACAGGCACAGAATCCGCAATAGACATCACAGCGATAAATTACAACATCGCACCCACAACACAATGGAAAATCCTGAGAGGTGCAATCAGTGACCACAGACCAATTTTAACAACCCTAAACTTCAAAATTGAGAATGTCCATTAGAATAAAAGAACATGGAACTTTAGGAAAGCCGACTTGAAAAAAATTCACAGAAAAGCTTGAAGA